CGGTTCGGAGGAGGATTTCTTTGGTATCTATTTCGTTGCGATCATACAAATTCAAATAATGACAAGTAATTTGAATTGGACTATTAATTTGTCGAGAGATCCTCAAATTTTCTATATTCCAAGTTAAATGTTTGGACAATAGATAACTTGCCATAGGAAGAGAATGAAGCAAACGTTGTTGTGAAGTTGATGCAACTTCGATAAATATGTAAGTAGGTGATTCCGAAGTTGAAATACAATCTGTATCGACGACGTTGGACGAAGCTATGTCCAAGGTTAATAACTCAAATAAAAACATATTGACATCTTCAGGGTGGTCCGAGGATACTATATTAATGTGCAGACTTTCTTCGGGTCGAAGTTTGCATTCTTTGAATTGACGTAAAATTGTGCCAAAATCCATACCATCTCTTATCAAAAAGCTACGTGGAACTTTCTTTTTGATAGAACTAGCTTCTTTGATCCACTCAGTTTTACCTTGTCCGGATAAGTCTGATGTGACACATAAAACGTTTCGACATAATTCTTGATAGATTTCTCTCATTTCTTCAGTGTCTAGCCCGTTCGTTGAGTGAACAACTAAGGATGGTTGATCTAGAATATAGTGATACATCTCAGTTTCTTTGCAACAGATAAGCGCCAAAAGATATTGGTTGTAACTTTCTCGCAATGACCTAATTTGATCAACTAAAATATATTGTAATTCGATTTCTAATTCTTCTAAATTTGCGATACAGAATAGGTTATTCTCATATCCATTATTTGAAGCAAAAAAACTTCTTTTGATAAAGATCGAGAGCTCTTCCAGTGTAGTAGTTGAAGTACATATCAAGAGTTGCCATGATTCAGGGTAAAATCCATGATTCGCGTATAATGACATGATGATGTTTGGAACTCGCGATTTGTCAGTACAAGCCGCAACGAACAATTTACCCTTTGCAACGATATCTGACATTATGCGTTGTTTAGTAATTATAAATTCACGCGTTTGTTTTGGAATATTTCTAAAAATTCTTTTTAATCCGTCACCAATTTCACAGAGAATTTCAAGATAATCTTTACGAGATGGTAATTGAACATTGTTGTTTATAGATTTAATCAACGTTCTGCATTTTTCTTCATTATAATTATCAAATTGCTTATCTGATATAAAATAATCGTAGAATGTCAGGACGTGACGAGCAGGGAAGAATGTTAAATAATAACACCTTTTTTGCGCCTGATTCACTATATCTTCCCTATCAATTGGTAAAACATCAACTCGTTAATTAATGGGGGAAAAAAAATAGAGTTAAAGAAAACAAATAAAATAAATATATTCACCATTTATTAAGCTCATCTTTTGAAAATTTTAAGAACTTTTTCATAGATTTTGTTCCACGCAATTTCTTTTCAAAACTTCGATAATCAAAATGTCCCGTTTGAATTAACGCGGATACCACGCTAATTATTTCTTGTGCAGTATCAACTTGAGTGATATAATCATCCGCAACATCTTTTGGTATTTCCATATCTTTATCATCCATGATAGTTTTCACAATTAAAAGAGCTCGCCCGCGTAAATCCAAAATTTCATTAAAGTTATAAAGGATCTCGGTTTTAGAGGTAAATACTAATGTTACGGTACATTTTTCTTCCTTCCCATCACGTTTAAAGGTATAAATTCCATTAGCTACGGCATTCTTAATTTTTTCCTTGGTAACTTTGCTACGGGTCGAAATGCTATTGTACACGTTTTGTAATGCCATGTTGCTATTTTTACATAAAATAATCTTCTCTACTAAAGTAGAATTTTTCTTAATAATTATTGATAACGCTTCCAAAACATCAGCAACACTTTCCATGATATTCTTATCCATTAATGGAAATAAAAATTGCTTGACTTGAATAAGCGAAGAAGCCGTATCCTCCTCCTTAACCAATTTTTCATCTGCATTATCATCTATAACATTAATCAGGTTGGTAATGTCATGTTGGGCAATTTCTTTTAAGAAATTCATAAAATCATCAGCATTAGATATTTCTCTTATCAATTCCCAACAATCATTATTAACTCCAGAGAGATTGCCATGAAGGTAGCCGAAAAAACTATTTATTTGTCCGAGCATCATGGAATCGTCCTTTAAAATATGAATAGATCTCGATAACCAATCCTGAGCCTCGCGTGGGATATTGAAAATATATGCAACTTTATCTAGTCTTTCAAGTCGCTCAATCCATTGAGGAATTTTTGAAATGTGATCGAGGGATTGTACAAATTTATTATCTCTAAGGGTCTCATACCCACCCATGAATTCGAGCTCTACATTAAAATTTGTCACATTTTTCCAAAATAAAGATGCATCTGAACATTTAAGTTTTTCCCACTCTCTAAATTGCATACAGAAGGCGTTATATCTTTTAAAAACAGTTGGTATCAACGTTTGTGCGATATATTCTACTTTTTTCGCGGCAGCATCTTCCTGGAGACAAATTTCAAATATATTTCGAAAAGTTTGAGACTGATTGAATTTATAGCAATGATTTGCGCTGTTTATCGTTTTTTCGTGGAATAACCAATAGTCTGATGTTAACCCTTGTCTTAAATTGGCCTTATCGGAACTTTGTAATTGCTGTAAATAGACATTCACATCTTGAGCGGTCGAACAAAATCTTTCATAAAACTTGAAAAGTATATCGGATTGAAGTTGAAAATTATCACATAATTCTCTAACTTTCGCAATTTCCTCTAGAGAGATCACCTCACTTGAAGTTTTCTTTTTGGCTGCTGCGAAAAAATGGTTGAACAATTCTTCGTCTGAATATTTCAATAGTTGTCGTAATGATTTTATGTCAATAGTTCTTTCAATAAGCAACTCGCTAAGTTCGTTTATAGACGCTTTAATATGTTTAACGTACGAGTTAGAGTTAAGATTTTTAACACTCCCAGTAGCGCATAATATAACGTTCCAAAATTTTCTATCCTCTAAAGTATTTAAATGATGTTCCGAACGACTGGACGCCAACGAATTGCTTTGCAATTTGATCATTACGTGGCATAGAATATCCTCGCACATCCTTAACAAAAGGAAAATAACAATCAGTGATGTTAAAAATTAATGAAAAATATGATTACAATTAAGGTGAAAAAACTTACAAATTCGGAACATGTAGAGGTTTGGTCTTGTCAACACAATTACAAATTACAAATAATTTATCTATTAATTGATCATTAATATTTTGAACTGACTTGCTTAATACTTTTTTGACCAACTCTGTAAATAAACTTTTGAATTCGTCACGTTTTAAATGCACTATAAATTTTGTTGCGGCAAAGATTTGAGCTTCTGAGCATTTCTTTACTCTCTTGATGGCAATTTTTGTAAATTCTCGCCAAATATTACTCCTCTGGTTAAGCAAAGGATGCATAAGATCTAATTGTTGGAATACCAAAAAAACGAAGACATTCTCATTTGTACTTAATTTGATCAAAAAAAGCGTAAACCAATTCACACAAATATTCGGTATCCTTTTTTTAGTATCGGAAAAGTCCTTGCGAAACCACCCATCCAAAAGTTCTGGAAAGATACTCAATAATCCAAAGTCATTGGATTTGGATATCAACTCCAATGCAAGTATGACGTCATCACCGTTCCAGTTTAGATTAACATCTTGAAGTAGTTTTCGTATAGCGAATATATTTTGATCCGTCCATTTGCTGCTTGGACTTTTAAGTAATAATAAAGAATGATCCCGGAAAACGGAAGAAACTTCACTTCGACAACTTTGAGGTAGTCCCTTAAAATGAGCGTCGAGAGCAATAGCATCATCACCGGAAATATTCTCTTGAACTCGATTAGCAAAGCACTTGAAAATATTTCTATCAAACTCAGCATTATGCAAAAAAACATCACTCCAAAGGTGAGAAAGTCCCTCCATGTTATGACATAATTGAATTAACCACTATATAAATATAAATCAAAATAAATAAAAATATATATATATATATTTTTTTTTTTAAAAAAAAAAGATTATTAATAATTTGATATTAAAAATAAAGAATAAGAATTAAAAAATTTTTACCTTGGCAAGTTTAACGTAAGCTTCAAAATCGATGCCATCGATATAAGGCCTAATAATTTCGGCTCTTTTAACAAGGGTTGCTAATAAACTATCATTAGGATATCTTAAAGCTCTTAAATGATCAATGAATGTATAATTAGGGTCGACTTTTGCAGCGATTGTAAAAACTTTTAGCCAATTGAAATGCATCTGAAAAGCATTATGATGTACTAAAGTTGTAATGGCAATACACATTTGATCTCTGGTGCCTTGAGGTAAAGTATCTTGTTTATATCCCTCTAGCACATCAAGTAATAATTCGGATGGAAATTCATTTGGTAATTCGTAAGGTAAAGTTTGCCTTTGAATATGATATCCTAAGAGTAGACATAAAAAAAGTCGTTTGGCCTTTGATTCATCATCAAGACGATTGATAATAAATTTGAGATTTGACGCACGAATCGTTAGATCTTCGTGATCAGCTAATAACTGTTGAAATTGTATAACTTTATCTTTAAGGTTATCAGCATTAATAGAATTAAAAATTAAATTAACAAAAGCGAAGTCTTTGACTTTCTCCGAGGATATACACAAAGCTTGATTATTTAGATTATTCTTCCATATTCCGAATTGATCATTTCTCGCAGTATCCAAAATTCGATTATCAGTAGGATCGCCTTCGAATACAATTTTTCCTTCCATTGTATGAATACCATATCTATATTGAATAGCATGCCCTCCAGATGTAGAAATATTAACTGGATTAGATTGCCAATACGTAGGAATTTGAGGAAATGGTTGTCGAAGGGTTATATTGGGATGCTCCCAAGAACCCAACGCTTTTCCGTCACCAAAAATTACGGGATGTCCAATTTTAGCAGTGTTTTCAGGAAAATGGGCGTGAAAAATAACTTTGATTTCGTTCTCATTCTTGCTATTCTTGCTATTAATAGGTTTACTAGAAGACTGTTCCAAGCTGTTTTCATTTTTAGCGCTACTGTAATTAGACGTTTGGTCTTTTGATGGAAGTCTGTTATTATCGAATTGACCACTATCTGTTTTTTCATTTACATTTTCCTCTTGCTTATCAGGATTTCCGGCGGATTCCATATTAAGCAAAATTTGTTGTAAAAAAAAAAAAAAATAAAAAAATAATTTTTTTTCGATTAAAAAATATGTAATAAATGAACAATGTTCCAAAATGTAAGGGTCTTTTATTTCAATTATACTGTGTTTTATACTGATCACTTCCAAAGATATATAAATTAACTATTACCTTACTCAATTTGGCAGACTCATTATCAGCTGATCAACTTCGTGAGAAAATTATTTTCTTTAAGGAAAACAGTATTTTGTCACCAACTTTCAGAATTAAACTAAATCCTAACTGACCAGATTTATAACGGGCTAGTTTGATCACCTGATATCTATAATAGTTTAATTTATATTAAATAACATGCGCACAATAATCATACTGGGCGTTTCTCATAATTGTAGACAAATCATCATCATACTAACTAAATGTGATAACTTGAATCGTTCTTTGAACATTACGATTATATTTTCGTGTAACCACTGCGCCACGTATCAAATAAACGTAGTTGTAATTTTATTACTCTACCGATAAATTAGCTATTCCTTCTAATTACTGACATTTAATTCTGACTTTGTAAATAATTATCATAAGCATAATACCTACTTACTTTCATGATTTTAATAATTAATTTAATTGACGCGAAATAACGGCTATCATTTGCGATGATATCGATTGTGACATAGTGATAACATTTTATACAAATTTTGGCAATCCAAATTTATGGCATAGTTCGCGTAATAGGAAATCTTGTCCTAAATACTGAACATATAATATTATATAACGTGATCTTGTAACAATGTTCTTGCTGCTTTTCCTTATTATGCAATTTAATTAAAAAGCTCAAATCGCACATAATAAATTCCGATATCCTTTTTGTTCAATTAAATCAAAAATAATGGATATTTCAAGATTCATGAATGGTTTGTTAAAAAGTAATTCTTTAGATTGATGTTGAATAATAAATTAATAACGGAATTCCAAGCAAAGAAAATTCTTCAAATAAGGACTTTATATTAGCATTTTCGTTCTCATCTAAAGATCCTTTCTCAATAAATTCTTAAAATTATCATGACTTGAGCAGCTTTTCTAGTTAAAAAATTTACTCAAGTTTAACGTTCAAAATCCAATGATTAATGGAGGTGCTTGATAAGTTTTAACGTTTAAAATATATGCGGCGGATGATTTTCTAAATGTGCACGGCACGTTAAAATAATTTCTTTTTGTTAGTTGTTGCCAATGTTAGAAAATGTTTTTGTTTTTATAATTTTCGAGCCATGGATAAATGTCATTTCAACAAATAAATTTTGCTGATATACAAAATAAGTTTGTAAGGATTGAATAAATATCTGAATAATCGTTTTTGTTAACATCATTAATATCATTCATTCTTTGGAATCAAATTGATTTTTAATAAAATAACTACACACGAGTAATAAATTTAAATTTGAAAATTTTATTGTATCACCAATAAATATGAAGGAGGAATGGATAATTGAATATTTTATCTTCAATTAATTGTATAGGTGTATAATAAGATGATAAAATACATTTTAAATCATTATTTTGCTCATAATATAATATTTATAATAAATATCTGTTCAATAAAATAATATGAAAAAGATCTTCGACATGGAAATTAGGAAAATCTTTGCTTTAAACTCGGTTAAAATGCACGTTATCAGAGACTATAGATTTCTAATAATGTAATCTTCCCGCTCGTCACGAATAACTTTAGCAAATATATGTTCTCACATAAGCTTTATGAATTTTGTTATAGAACGCTTATAGCCCTTCATCATGAAGTAACACATATTACGTTCGGACATAATTCTTTTGCATCATTTCATCATCTTAACTTCATGATTTTTAAAAGAGAACGCCACCATGTAATGTCATTATTACACCAACGAATTCTTCCCTCCTAAAATGGGATTTTATTAATAATTCGTACTAAAAAATCTGCAACGGAACCCATTTTTATTCTCCCATAAAAAGAATTAAAGATTTTCTTGAAATGAATTAACCATTAGTCAAATTTTTAATTTCAGGTCGGAATTATTCTTTAAAAGATTTAAATAAAATCATTGGCAATTGACAATTATCTTATCAATTTTCCAACAATCCTCATTACAATTAAAAATAATTTTTTTTTTCCAGAAAACAAAACTATTCATCTGGGCCAGACCCTCGGGAATAATATTTATCTTTTTATAAGTTGAAATGATTTCTTAACCAATCCTCTTGCTTGTATTATTAGTTGTGAATATAGAAGGTCCTAACTTTCCGATGTCTTGACGAGTGTCTTGATTATTAATATTACGTTAAATTTATCTCGATTTCCAAAATTTAGATGAGCCTTACCTCGTTCCTTGGTTCATACCTAAAATCTCGACGAACGGGATCATTAAAAAGTTCTCTTGCTTATTATGATCTTTATACATAGCTTTGTCGGGACCCCATCTTAATAAATAAAAAATATATGCGTAATATTTGTCAAAAAAAAAAAAAAATCACATAATTAAACGTGAAAACATTGTCAGTAGTCGTTTTACACACACTTTTCAAGAAAGAAATTTTCAAGTAATATATATATATACTGGTATAAAAGTATATTTCGCAAAATTAACAGGTAGAAAAATGCAAAATTATTGCATTAATTCGTGACAATATAAAGAAAATAAAAGTACTAATTGATTTCTTCTCGGAAAACTTCAACAAACCGAGTAAAGTTAAATAATAACATTTATATCAAATAAAATGTAAATTATAAAATAATAAATATTTTTATATCGAAAAAAAATTTATATAATTGTTAAAATAATAAATATAAAATATAATTAATATATAATATGTATACGAAATAAATTTTTTTTTAAAAAAAAAAAAAAAGTTTTAAAGTATTATTGTCAAGTTAAATATATTAAAAAGTTATTTGTAATTTATACAACCAAAAAATAATAATAAAATAAAAATTACTAAAGTATAAAAAAGATTTTTATAATTTAATTTTTTCCAAGTTGATTTTTGTATAAAATATTTTTAAATAACATACTGTATATTATTAATAAAATAAATATATATATATATATAAAATATCCGAACATAACTCAAAAACAAACTTATTAGAACAAGAAAAGAAAGTATCAATTACCGGTAAAATTATTTTACAAACTTATTTTTCGTATCAATAATGATTTTTTTCTTTTGTATTATCCCATAATAATGAACTGCAAAGACGTGAAGCATTTTCTGATCCGCTTGCAGATCTCATTTTCTTAAGCTCAAAAATTGATTGCATATTAAGGAAACTTTTTTCTGTCTCGGAAGTTGAAACAACAATACTTCATTAGAAGATCTCCAAAATAATTTATTATTCTTAATCATCATCTTAAATATATTTGTTTGATTATTATTAATTTCTGAATTTGAGCACATATGGTATAATAAGTTTCTTTATAATTATACATTCCATAATAAGGACATCCAATTAATAAATCAGAAAATCCATACCGTCTATTGCCCAAATGCTTCAATTATCCAGTCGTATTTATAGAAAAAAAAAAAAAATAATAATTTTCACCACCAACACTAACCGCTTTCATCCACCGATAAAACAATTTATATATACACTATCCTCGGAAAAGTATCCGGCCAGCAAAAAAAAATAAAAAAAAAATTATTTAAAATTTTTTGTGTAAATTTTTAAAATAAATGAAATGTCCAATTATTTTTTTGTATAATTTGTCTAAGTGAATGAAGATCATCTTTATTCAAAGAATTTGGTCTTCCGGATCTTTTAGCATTTGATCCATTATTAGAATTAGCATACCGCGCAATTACATCTGTAACAATGCTTTTAGAAACTCTAAAATGCGTGCGATGGCCTCATGAGTCCTTCCTGCTAACTTTAAACCGCGATTTTTTCCCATGTTGAATGGCGCAGTTTTTAATAAAGAGGACTTCTTTTATAATACGTTTAGTAGGTGATCGCTATGTATATCGAAAAAATTTGGGCAGCTTATGTAATATTTACTATGAAGTTTTTAATACGAGTTACCTGATCTATGCATTGTTACATAAATATAACCATATTCTCATGTGAATTTTGCCAGTGATTGATGTATTTAATAAAAATAATAATTATTACAAAAAAAATGTGTCAGATGTCTACATTTTCTGACAGAACAAAAAAAAAATTTTTCAGAAAGCACAATAATTGAGAAATATATTAAGATACTTTGTATCTCGAACCCGAACTACGAATAATGGAAATGCTGTCAGCAAGGCCACGGACATGTTGATGGGAGCTGCTACTACGCAACAAAAGTTTTATTACAAAAATTTGTCTGATGAAGTGAATAAAATAATCAAAAATCGTCGATAAATTGATTTTTTCTCTCTTGAAAAAATGTAATTTTTCATTTTCTTTTTGATAATCCCGTTTTTATTTAAGATTTTTTTTTTGTTTTTTATTTTACGTTCCTCTATTGATAATTTCACTATGATTTCCTTTTTTATGAAATAAGTTTTCACGCAAAATTCTGAATCGTATTACTTAGATTTTATTTCTTAATTTTTATTACTTTCGTCGTTTCGGGTCAAAGTCTGAATATTTCTTAATCGTTAGAAAATTTTCGTTACGTTACAATTTTTTTTATGGATTATTATTAGATTATATTTTTTTATGTTTAAATAAAAATAAATTGACAAAATTTCTTTTTTCGTTAATACTCAAGAAAGTTTTGTGTATCGCGCGAGTTAATTTTTAAATTTATCAATTTCAAGTAATGCTCAATTGATTTTTAAAGTCTCTGCAATGTCTTGAATTAATTTTTGATGAAGAAACAACATGCTATGATATTTGTTTGTTTAAAACGAAATCAAAAAAATTTTTTTTTTTTTTTCCTTGAAAAATTTATAGTTATCGTTTCAAATGGGTTCTTTTTTAAAATTAATAGTTTATACTAGTTGTAGTTAAGATTTAATGCATAGTATTTGTTGTTTATGATTACTAATATTAATCCAATTAATAAATAATAATTATTCGTCAATAACCATTATCGCAATGACGATCTGGATTGACAGATTACGTCTTCATCCTTGAACCTGCTTTACGTTACACAATAGGCCTGTTCAATTTTGGTTGATGCAAATTTTGGTGCCATCAAATGCACCAACAAAAAACTGATGCATGTGATGCAAACTTGAAAATCGGATTTTGATTGGCTAATTTTGAGAATATCCATCAGAATTGAGTAGTCTAAGTATCTATATTGCCTCAAATAGCTTTTATCGTATTAAATTAAATTTAAATAAAATAATAAATAATTAAAAAATTAATAAAGTTACAATTCATTCTACATATACAATACATTAATTAGTGTATTAAAATGTTCATTCTCATTTTTTCCACAAAAAACCTTCTTCTCGATGAAACATCCATTCAACTGCGTGTAATATATTATCAGCAACAAACTTAGCGGGATTTAATAGATCATTATCCTCTCCTGAAAATACTCCGGTCCTGACCAATATTGATGTCCATCCTGCTCTATTTGCTCCTGCAATATCTAGAATTATTTTAAAAAAAAAAAAATATTATGAGCATCATAAGACAAAAATCAATTAAAACGAGATTCAATTTCTATTTCAAAACATGCCTGCGGCGGGGTTATCTCCGACAGCTATAAAATAATTCAATTAATAAATACTGATTCAATAGCGTAGTTTTATAACAAAAGTAAAGTTTACCATAAATTTTCCTGTTCGATATTCTCTCTCCTGTATACTCCGCAGCGAAATCTTCCAACT